CTGTCCCTCAGATAGTTGGGGGGCCGAAGCACCAAAAATAAATAAATATTTAAAAATAAAAAAATTAAAAAGATTTTAAAAATATGCATGCACACTCTCTCAGCCCCAGAAAAGCCATGGCAAAAACTCTGGAGATTTTGCCAAGAAAACCCCAAGAACAGGTAATAACAACAATAATCAATATCATTATGGCGGGCGGTGGCTCATCAAGACTATCAGATGGGTTGGCACTCCCATGTCTTTAAGAGCCTTCCATAGCCTTTCATGAGATTCTATGCAGTCAAAGGCTTTGCTATAGTCTATAAAGCACATGCTGATTTTCTTTTGGAATTCCCTGGTGCACTCCATTAGCTATTGTATATTTGCAATGTGATCCCTAGCACCTCTTCCTTTCCTGAACCCCGCTTGAACCTCTGGGATCTCTCTTTCCATGTATGGGTGGAGTCTATGTTGCAGAATTTTGAGCATGATTTTGCTTGCATGGGAGATTAGTGCTATGGTCCTATAGTTGCTGCAGTCTCTTGTGTCTCCCTTTTTGTGGATGGTGATAAATAGCGATCACTTCCAATCTGTTGGCCATCGTTTTGTTTTCCATATCTGTTGACATATGTTGGTTAGCACTAGAGTTGACTCAGGGCCTTTGCAGACTGCTAGAAATAGTGCGAATTGAGCCCACTTTAAGGGTTAGGGTTCGTGCTAGGGAATCATGGGAATTGTTGTTGTTGTTTTCTGAGACATTGAGCCTTCTCTGTCAGAGAGCTCTGGTGCCACAATAAAATACAGTTCCCATGATTCCCTAACCCTTAAAGTGGACTCAATTTGCACTATTTCTAGCAGTCTGCAAATGCCCTCTGTCACTGTGGATTGACAATATGGATTGACTCTGTCAGTGTTGATTGCAGCAGTTCAATTGGAATATCATCTCTTCCTGGTGCTTTGTTTTTCCCCCCTATTTCCCTCTCTTCTCTACCATATACCATCTTAACGAAAGACAAACAACAAAAAGGCAGAAAGGCATCTGACTAACATCTCCCATTGTTGTTTTTTTCTTTCTTTCCTTTCTCCTGTTTGGTTTGTAACACATCTAGCCTGGTGATGGAAGAAGTCAGTGGAGAGCTTGGAAAGCTTGCAACAAGTCTGTTGTGCCTTTCAGTGGCCCAATAAAGGTATCACTCTTTGGTGGATTTTTGTCTGAATCTGCTGCCAGTGTAAGCCTTGTGGAAGGGAGGGAGGGAGGGAAAGAAGGAGGGCTTTTTCCCTGGCTGGGAGTGGCAAAGGCAGGAGAGGAGGGGAGGAGGTTTTGGGGTTGTTGTGTTGCTGCTGCTGCTGAGTCTGGCTGTGATGGTGATGACGGAGTGAAAATGGCGGATCTTTCGAAATCCCATCCCGGCCTCCTCTGACCGGACAGGAACCAGGAGCCAGGGAAGGACTGCCTGCCTTAGGAGGGAGAGACAGCTCTTCCAAGGAAGAAGGGAAGGAGGAGGCTGCCTCCAGGCCTGGGCAGATGGAGAAGGGAGGAGGAGGAGGACTTGAACCCAGATCCTGGGAAGAAAGAGCTCTCCGGCTTTAGATCCAGGTGCTTTCAAATCTTATGGATCTCTCTCTCTCTCTCTCTCTCCTTTCCTACTTAATGGGTCCATAACACACTGCAGACATAATCCAGTTTGAGAGAGCTTTAACTGCCCTGGCTCAATGCTAGGGAATCCTGAGGACTAGTTTTCTGAAACAGAGGGCCAAAACAGACTGCAGAAATAATCCCGTTTGACTGCAGAAATAATCCAGTTTGAGACCACTTTAACTGCCCTGGCTCA